TTAAATACTAAAAAAATCATTGTGGCATAGGCTTTTGTGCACCAGACACCATGCCGTCAAAAGCTTGAAGGATTGTGCTCAGTGGCAGATCTGCCTTTTCATCTGTTTCATGATAGACTTGAGTCCGCACAGTTTTTTGCCACAGTAAACCTTGCAAGACTGTGTGTGAGCCAGGTTAGCAGGAGATATCTTTATTTTTGCTGATTAATGTCTGCATTTACTAGTTCCATGAGAACTTCTACCCTGCACTTCAAATAGACATGCATTAAAAACACAGCATCAAGGAAAATACAATGGAGGCAGGAAGAACATAGAATCATAGAATCATAGAATCATAGAGTTGGAAGAGACCACAAGGGCCATCGAGTCCAACCCCCTGCCAAGCAGGAAACACCATCAGAGCACTCCTGACATATGGTTGTCAAGCCTCTGCTTAAAGACCTCCAAAGAAGGAGACTCCACCACACTCCTTGGCAGCAAATTCCACTGTCGAACAGCTCTTACTGTCAGGAAGTTCTTCCTAATGTTTAGGTGGAATCTTCTTTCTTGTAAGCATTATGGAAGCATTATCTGTTTGGTATGGAAAAGGCTGGCTTTACTATCCAGGTTGCAAGGGAAATACTGAGGGGTTTTATGTTGGTCCCCAGAGCATAGTACAATTTCCTAGACCAGTTTGTGCTGCCAAGTATGTGGCAAGTACTGTATTATAGTACAAAACCTGTATCAGTTAAACAGACTTTGGGCTAAGAAGGTATGCTCTGCTTTCTCTTTTCCTTTAATAGGTTAGGTTAAGTAAGCAATGTTAAAAAGTTAAGGCTATCAAGCCCAGAAACAAATAACTGCTGCTGCTTTTAACAGCTTCATAGAAGAAAAATACTCCGCCTTCCCTTGCCTTGAAAGTAACCTGCTTAAATAATCTGTCATTTTATTTAAATGTTACATTTATATCCCAATGTTTCCTCCAAGGAGCTCATGGTGGTGTATATGATCCTCCTTTCTCAATTTTGTTTTCCAAAAAACACACGATAAGGTTGGTTAGGCTGAGAGAGGGAGGCTGCACCAAGGTCACCTAGTGAACGCCATAGCTGAATTGGAGATTTGAACATGGATCTCTACTGTCCCTTACCTTGTGTAGCAGGTGTAAATGAATCTTTGGCCCTATGGTGTTGCTCTGCAACAAATCCCAGGATCTCTAGCCATTGGCCATACTTGCGGGGCTGGGGATCCTGCAAATTTTATTCTAGCAGTATCTGGAGAGCCAATGGTTCCCCACACCTGATCAACAGGCTTGATGCTAAAATGGCCCATGTCACCTGCCATCATGTATTCCTGTTCTGCTGTACTTTAGGAGAAGTGCAGTTTTCTGACATTATCCTGTATTCCCTCTTTGTGTGTGAAATAGCCAAGAGTCTTTGCTGGTCAACAGCCCTACATTGTATTGGGTCCCCTGGTTCAGTTTAAGGAACATTGTTGGGCGATCGACTTTAATGAATTCTATAGAACTGGAATTGTATACTGGTATCTGATCACTGACTCACTTGGTCTCTGCTGAATGTTCCTGCTTCCAATGTAGGTTGTTGCAGTGACTCTGGAAAATGTAGTTGTGCCTGTTATAAATGTAGTAGGATCCTAGAACAGATGAGTCTTCCATAGGGATAGCAGCTGGATGCCATGGGACCAAATCTAGTCCTCTGAATTCCAGCACCTGAAACCCTAGTTGCCAACCCAACATGAAGAGATATATTCCCCGACTCGGTCAGTGGGCACTTCACTACTGTAATGTGGGGGGTAGAGGGTCAATGGTTTGGCTGACCATCCTCTCCTCAAAGATGCACTCCTATAAGTTGAGAGGTAACTTAGGGTATGGCTTTAAGCAGAGTGGCAGGATTCCTGCTGAAAGGTGCTGGGGCTGCATTTTAAATGATTCCACCACAAAACCCTGTTATCCCACCTCCACCACTACCTCAGATGTTCTTATATATATTTCCAAAAATTATACACTGTCTGTTGAGTCATTCCTCATTATACTACCTTGAATATTTATTATAAAAATGCACAATAATAATGGAATATTTCTAATGTGAAAATGCATTGTGTAACACACGTTTATTTTAGGTATGTATTGAAATAAGTATATATTTTCTGTAAGTTTTGTTTGCTGTATTTGCTGTAGATTTGCATCAGTTTTTGAGTTTTTCTTTTTGGCAGTTTCTGCCTTGAGAAACCTGTTTTATGCTGCATTATAAGAATATGCCTTCCTGATGTACTTTCCCATGTCTTGGGGTTTGATAATTACAAACTTCTGAAATATTTTCATTCCCTGTTTGCTCTTTGATATAAACGTTTGTTTTTATTTTGCTGTACATGTAGTAATTTTAGGGATAAAACTAAACCTTGATATCTGTTGTCTGTGGGAACTTTTTAGAGTCTTCCCACAATACTGCTATTAAAGGACTAAGTGGGTTCATGTGGCTGAAGTTTGTCTCGATTGGTTAGAATTAAACACATTCTTTTAAATCAAACAAATGTTCTTTTCCAGCAACATAGTCTCCTTTGATTGTTGGTTCTGTCACTGGATTTAATGACCAGATGGACGAGTTGAAGCTTGTGGGAATTTAGAGCCTGAATAGGGCTTTCTCACTCTTTAAATGGGAGGGTGACTTCATTTAGGGATTTAATGTTGGTAGTGGAAGGTTGAAAAATTGTTTTCAACTCTTGGCAGGCTGAAGCCGAAGATCTGTAGAAGAGTATCGTAAACTGCACCTGTGTCAAAAAATACCATTATTAATGTACTGTCCTTCCAAGTGCTGGGTTGCAGCATTGCCTGAAGTTTGATGTGGATTCATCACTGCTGTTTCCTTTTCAAAGAGAGAGTATTTGTGTTATAATTCAGTCACAAAAGTGTGCCTCAGTACCACCTTGCAGCACTAACATACGATACTAGAGTCCATGCCTTAGCTGAGACTCTTGTGTGTCCTCCAGGATACAGTAGGGGGTTATTCCACTTTATGTTGCAGAATTTCATGTGGTGGTGCAGAGGAAGGATACTGATGCATGATAACTTGTAGACAGTTTGCAACCTGATTTAATTGTAAGAGTGAGAATCTGCAGAAGATACAATAGTCACAGACAGTCCTGGGGCAGGGAGAAGAAAAAAGGAAACACAGCCACATGTGTGAGGATTCAGATCCTATGTTGTGGGTAGGGTTGCAAGTGTGTCTCAGGTCTTGAAGCCTGCTGCCTGAAAATAATGTATTGGTTGTAGAGCTGAGCAGCAGTACTATACAAATTCTCATGCACACACAAAAACTATGAATGTTGGTTTCGGTTTTCTTAAGCAATATATTGGAGCGAGATATAAATATCCTAGAGAAGAGAAGACACTTTCCACATGCAGGAAGGTTTCTTTGGTTGGATACTAAAAGAACAAATGGCCTTTTTGTTGCTTTTGTTTCTGCTATAGATGTGCTCCAACTTGCAGTATGTGTGCTTTGGATTTATTATCCTAATTCTCTATATAGAATGTGGTGCAGTTAAAGGCATGTCAAGGAATGTAGTATTTTTTGTTAAAATATTCAGTTCAATTTTGATGCAATAATTGTATCAAGTCGACACTAGTCCATGAAAGTTTATGCTGCAATCATATTTCTTGGGTTTTTTTTTGCTGTGAGAGACTAACATGGTTACCCCTCTGCTAATATGTACTTGATTATGATGCAATCAGTTTGTCTTGAAATGGCCACATGCTGCTTGTGAACATCAAAGGGTTAACCAGGATTTAAACTGGCATGATGTGTTAGATTAGAATATTTCTAATCTAACATATTCCCCATTGGCAATTTGAAAATGTCAGTTGTCGTGCACATTTTAATAGTATCATAATGGGATAAAATACTCTTATTTAATAAACAGCACACTTAGATTTCGAAATCTAAAAATGAGTAAATGTGTTCACTCACTAGAATTCCCCTTTGTGCCCCCAATGCATTGAGACAGCTATGAAGCTCGTGTAACTTTCGTTTTATTTACTTATTATTTCATTTCCCCCCGCCTTTCCTCCAAGAAGCTCAAGGTGCCACATACAGTTCTCCCTTTCCACATTTTATCCTCACAGCAGCCCTGTGAGGTAGGTTTGGCTGAGTGATTGGCTGTCTCAGGGTCACCCAGTGATCCTCATGGCTATTGTATCACACTAGGATTTGCCACCACTGTGACTTAGCAAGAACTTTAAAGACAAAGGCAGGTTTTTTTTAAAAAAAGACAGTGGTGCCTCGCAAGACGAAATTAATTCGTTCCGCGAGTTTTTTCGTCTTGCGATTTTTTCGTCTTGCGAAGCACGGTGTCGGAAAAGTTTTGGAAAAGCTTCAAAAATCACCAAAGTCTTCACAAACCTCAAAAAAGGCTGCCACACCGCGTGCTATGAGTTGCTCCTCGAAGTCAAGTCGCAACTGTATTAACGGTGTTAAGAAAAAGGAAACAAACTTGCAAGCCCATAGGGAAAATCGTCTTGTGAAGCAGCTCAAAAAACCAAAAACCCTTTCGTCTTGCGAGTTTTCCGTCTTGCAAGGCATTCGTCTTGCGAGGTACCACTGTAATCTGTGTTTGCATGTGCATTCTAGACGTTTTCTTTTTATTAAATTAGAATAATTCTGACTGTTAAATACTAATGTAATGTTTGCAACCGCATGTCTGGGCAAAATGTAAAAATGTGAATTTTCCTAGCCTTTTATTTCATGCAATCCAATTCAAGCACTGAATTATTTTTCTGCATATGTAGTTTCGGTATGCAACACTTGCTAAATATTGCTGGTCTGTGTGAACTGATTTTTTTCTTCTTAAAGAAACTCTAAACTGAGAAGCACAATCAACTATCCCTTTTGTATTCATGCTTTGTGGGGAGGAGGTGGGGCGGATTGACAGGAGCTCTCTATAAATGAGCTTCATTTGGATTGGCTTAACCAAGTAATCATGACGCTGCGCTGTGTTTCAGTAACCACCCTCAACAGAGTGTCCTGTTAAGAGGAGGCATGTTTTCACCTTGAGTAGAAACTCTTGGTTGATGCTTTTGAGTGTTGCCTTGTTTTGCAGTTCTCTCGGGAGTTTTATCTGGAGCTCGCGCTGTAAGTTGTAGAACAGTTCACTTTGCTTGAGATCTCTGCTCCTGAGGTGTGAATATGATAGGGTATCTATTTTAGACATAAGGAATGCATTTGTGACTAGCAAGGCAGTTACTTGAAGAATTAACTTTGCTTCTCTTTGAAACAGCTTCAAAGCATTGAGTAAGTTTTTAATAATGGGGTTTCCCCCCTCTTGATAAACTTTTATAGAATTTTTAAAAATCGTACACCTTCTGTGGAAGTAGAAAAGAATGAGAGGCCGTTCTATGTCAGTTTTCTGATTCATTATGGGGTAAAAAGTACTTTATAGCATCTATTTTCAAGAAATAAATTGAGCTGAAAGGAGGCAGATAAGATCTTCTGTTTGGTTGAAAACTACCTTAACCTCAAACATCACTGTCTTATTATTGGAAGTAAACTTTACTCTAGCTGAATACAAATATGTGTAGTACGTATCTGAAATATATAGTCTATAGTATGTGTAGTAAATGTGTTTGTACAGTAAATGAAATGGGTTTTATTCAGGGAAGATAGTTTTTACTGCCAGGTTTTTCCTAATAAATGATAGTCTTTCTGTAGCTGAAGGTAACAGACGCCAGCATGAGTTTTTGAAATGCAACATACCAGTGCTTGTCGTGCAAGATGGCTTGCAATTAAGCAAGCTATATAAGGATGTGTAGGGAAAGTTGGAATTGGTTGGTGAAGTAACCCTTTTATATAACTGATATTTATTGGGCATTATTTCCTTCCTGGAGTATAAATCTTTCATCCTCCTTGGTCTTCTTGCAAGCTTTGTGCATGTAATTTTAGAACCATGTAGGGATGTAATTTGCCTAGAACTATTTTAATTATCCGGCCTGCCGTAACAGGGTCTGTTAAATTTTAAATACTTATATGACTTTAACCTGTGGGAGGGAAAAAGCCATCTTATCCAACTTGTCTGTGCCTGGCATTGCAAGCCAGATTTGATATTTTATTAAGCATTGTAGAATTAACTATGTTATGTAAGAGGGGTGTGTGTATATGTGTGTGTGTACACCCCCAAACAAACAAAAAGAATTGCTTGCAAGTTGCTATGAAATAATCTGTTGTTGTAAACTAAACCCCCAAACCCATGTTAATATCAATTAGAAACAAGCTTTGTCTTTGTGGCTCAATTTGATTGTTTTATAGGAAGCTCTGTATGGTTGTGGTTAGTAGTACAATCCTTCTGGGCATCCTATTTTGAAGGGGAGGATGTGTGCAAATTTTGTAACATTTGCCTCTTTGCTTTTAAGCAGCAAAAATGTTTTTCTATGGGTTTCTACATACCAATTTTAGATGGATTCCCATGGGTAAGGTGAGGTCCATATTAAGGAAAACAAATATTTGCTGGTTGGCAAATATTCCTCTGTCACTAGTCCATAATAGTCCATAATTCCTCTGTCACTAGTCCATAATAAACGTCCAAGTGATCTGTTGCCGCTTAGGTTTACATGGGGTAAAGTTCAGAGTTCTTTCAGGGCAAGTGCCTTCTGACCTATATTGTACGGGTTGAGTTGCATCTGAGTCTTTCTTAAATGCTGGCAAAGTACTGGCAGTAATTAATCTGCCACATGTAAACAAGCTCCGTAAGTCAGCAGGGTTTGCCCTGGATTCCATCACAGAGGAAATCTAAGGATAACCCATTAGAATTCCCTTTAAAGTTCCTTATTTCCATTTGTGTACACTATTCTGCTGTTGGCTGGGAATAAATTGCAGTTTCCTTGGAGTTTGAACTTGGCTCTGCAAGTGTCCTGCTTGACCCCTCACCTTTGTTTTCTGTGATAGCCTTCCCCTTGGATATACTATTTGGCTGGGTAGAAGGGTATAAAGTGTTTTTACAAGTCTCTGATACAGATCTGCTTTTTGGGATTGGGCGTTTCACTGTATAATAAAGGGCCTACTCTACTTGGCTTCTGTTTGTAAAACCATCAAGGCTTGGCACTTGTTCAATATTTTCTGATTTTGGAGATTATTATTTATTTGAGTAGTGTTTTGAGTAGAGCGCTTTACAAAATATTAGCTTAGTCTCTACCCAAAGATTTCTAATACAGAAATCTTTGGGTAAACAGAAAGCAAACAGATTAGTTTGAATGGTATACAGAGCAAGCCGTTGCAATTGATGGAAACTTATCCTTTCTTTAATTCAGTAAATCTGCAAACTGGGGGGTGTTAAATCTGGACTAGGAGGAGGGATGGAATGACGGCACCAGCCCAAGACTACCCTTTTCATTGACCTGCAAAGCAATATATTGGCTGAAAAAAACCTGCAAAGTATTTCCATAAAACCCAATTAAGTTTTCTATTTCATAAACTCTATTGAGGAACTCTGTTATTCAGTAGGCAAAGAGATTTTGAGTCCTATAGGTAATACCACTTGTGCCTTTGAATGAGTGTGAAGAATAGTCCCCCTGAAAAAAGATTTCACACAGTCTTTCAAATAATTTATGTAGTGTCATAATGAGATGTTGTTGATGTTAAGTTGGTATTTAAAGTCAAGAAATTTGGGACATTTATTATAGTTTACTCTCAAGGCTTCTGTCTTTTGTGAACAACAACAACAACAACAAATAAATATTTTATAGCATGATCATAGTGCATTTTTAAGTAGCAAGAGAGATCCCTGGAGTGAAAAGCTTTCAGTAAGAAATTTGAAGTGATAGATAACATTTGGAATCGGGTGGAGGAGAGGATAAATGTGCTGAAGACTTTATGGATAACGTGGGCACTTAGAATGGGTTTGAAAGATGACAGAAGGCATCATTTAGAAATTCAAGAAAGCCATTCTAGCCAAAGGGTGAAACTGTGGGCATCTAAGAATGTTTGGAGACCTTCAGATGGCTGAGGGTGGTGGAGGTGGAGGGAGGTGGAGGAGAAAAGGAAATTGTTTTGGGATGGGGAAAAATGATTTTTAGTTATTGTAATAAATCAGAGTCAAAGACTAGGATACAAGAGCAAAAAGAATGGGATTAGGGGCATAGCTATGGAGGTTTTTGAAGCCAAGAATGAGGAGTTTATGCTGGGTTTGGAGCAGACATGGACCTGCTGAAGGCGCATCATGTGATCAGAACAATGAGTGAGCTAAATGGTTTTGTTGTCAAAGTTCTGGATAGAAGTGAAGAGGTTGAAGTGTGACAGTAGAAGACAAGATGAGAAGTTACTAGTGTGAGAACTAGAGTTTTTGTTGGGGGGACAAAGAGAAAAGGGTTTATTTTTGCCTTTGTTGTAAAGTGAAATGTTATGGTGCTGAGCTGAATGTGAATGCCAAAGGAGAGGGATGATAGTGGATAGTGATGCGGTTGGTGGTTATAGAAAATATATGAGGAGTGGAGGTCTTGGGAGGAAAGACGACGGAGGTTAATTCTCAACCCTCACTGTGTTTGACACCGTGATTAAATATTAAGCAGAAATAACAGACAGGTAGACAGAGTTCTGAGATAGAGGAGGGAGTTCTGATGTGGAGGTAGGTGTCATAAGCACATAGGTCTGGAGTGCTTATTTCAGACCAATGGCCACATTCTCATCTGGACAACATTCCAGGAGCGACATGGCATTGGTGGGTGGCACCAAAGCCAAAAAGTGTAAATTTTAGCATTGTACCATAGGTTAGTCTCTACCCACCATCCGGGCAACCAAGAAACACTGCCAAAATTCAAGGACACATTTCAGCCAGGCAAAAACACTTAAGGGGTGTGCGAAGCAGGGCTAGTATGGGAAAATGGGTGTGGCTGAGAAAGGGGAGTGGCCTATGTAGAGTCCTGAGGGTCAGACGGAGAGTGTGGAGGGTCACATTTGCTCCCTCCCACCTGAGGTTCCCCACCCCTGATATAGTTGATATTGAAAGTTTTGGTATGTGATGAGGTCACTAAGGGAGAGTATATGCGGAGGTCACAACAGACCATGATGGAGAGGGGGAAAGCAAAGGAAGAGCTTCCCTTCCCTGTGGAAAAGTTGAATGAGCAATTGCGTCAACAGGAAGAGAAGCAGCTGAGGGGAGTCATGGAAACCTAGGGCATGAAGTGAGTCATGCAGGAGAGAACCATCAGTTGTTCCATAGGCTGCAGAGATAGTTGCCAGTGAGGAGATCATCAGTGAAGGGCTGATCTACTGGTATGCTGAGGGCAGAAGTCAGATGTTATGGGGTCAAGAGAAGCTGTAGTAGAGAGAGTTGACAGTAGGTGTAAGTGATACATCCCAGGAGTTTAGAGATAAAGAACACAAGAGAAGTTGAGCAGTAGCTGAAGAGGCAGGTTGGGTCAAGGGGGTGTCCTTTTTGGAGAGGGTGGAAAGTGTTAGTGTGTCTAAATGCAGAAGGGAAGGAATGTGCTGATGAGATGGGGGAGGCAGAGAAAAGTGGTATATTTATTTTATTAAATTTGTATACTGCCCTTCATCCGAAGATCTCAGGTTAGTTCACAGTGTATTTGATTGAAGAGGAATAATGGGAGGAGGTAGATAGAATCAAAGGGGAAGATAACAGTGGAATAATGAACTAGATGGGAGGAAAGAGAAGAGGGTTCAGGGAGGTGTGGACTTCAAGGAAAGAGAGTTAGAAAGGGGGTTATTTTATTTTTATCCCTTCAATGTGGAGGGAGGGCATGAAGTCCTAGTAGGACTTCAAAGGATGGAAGAGGTGCTGAAGATTCCTAGAGTTGGTGTGCATCATAGCAGTACAGTGGTGCCTCAGGTTACATACGCTTCAGGTTACACACTCCGCTAACCCAGAAATAGTGCTTCAGGTTATGAACTTTGCTTCAGGATAAGAACAGAAATCATGCTCCGGCGGCGCGGCGGCAGCAGGAGGCCCCATTAGCTAAAGTGGTGCTTCAGGTTAAGAACAGTTTCAGGTTAAGAACAGACCTCCGGAACGAATTAAGTACTTATCCCGAGGTACCACTGTATTCTTGATGAGTCATATGGCAAGCAAAAGGAGAGGATGACTTTTACAATGGACAAAACTTCTCAGCTGTTTGATTCTCTCC